CACGTCTTGCTGAATGGCTCAGGAATAATTTAAGTTAATGTATTCAGGAACTATTTAGTCGACTTTGTACTTTGAGCGTGCTTATCAGAACTTTTCGGACGCAATGGGACGGCCTACACTGTTGTGAGAGTTCGAAATATAATCGATCATAAAAGGCCCTGTTCGAGGACCAAATGCGAATTTAGCAAAACAGGAATCCACTGTCCCTATCCTTTGATACGCTGTCACTATCTTTTGCCGCCAAATAATATAATAATTAATTATTATTAACATTAAGTTTGAAGTGATACTGTGATGATGAAGGGAGAAAGAACTATGGTGAAGTTGGGAGGTTGTAGGTGGGGTAGTGGGAGGTGTTCATGGGATTTCGGAATCATCTCAGCATTTGACTTATGACCATGGGAAACTACGAAAAAACCCGGACAGGATGGCCGGCCAGGAGATCAAACCCGGACCTCCCGATTGCTAATACAGCGCGCTATGCCCTGAGACACTTCCCTCGGTTTATAATTATATTATTATTTTGTTTATTCTCAAAGTTTTTGGTTTCACGTGGATATCACACAGATACAATATCAAGGCATGGTAACACAGGCATATTTAAAATCTAAAAAAAATTACGGCATTCTATCATATAAACATAAAATAACTGTTTTTAGATTGTAAACATAAAATAACAGTTTTCAAATGCTAATAACAAATACAATTTTAAGAGTGAGCATTCAAAACCCAACATATCCTCCCATGAATCTCCTGACTAGTGAGCAGGTACTGATTATAACCGACTTCTGGAGGCCGTTAATAATGCTCTTCTCCAAGCAGAGTTCTTTCAGCGATCTGCAGAGAGTTTTTGGTATCACACCAGGTGCTGATAGTACAATTGGGATAGTTTTCACTTCATATTATTATTATTATTATTATTATTATTATTATTATTATTTCTGCCAACTGCTCACATTGCTGTTTGTAGGATAAAGCAATCTGACATTTATTTCCTCCATGTGTTCCCCGCCCTCACTCCCGCTCTCCGCTCTCTCCGGGGAAAAGAGGGGGGCGGAGGCTTCGCAGTCAACTGACTGTCGCGGAGCGAAATTGCGAGCGTTTGTCACTTCCGCAGGAAGTTGTTTTTCGAAGCGAAGCGAGGCGACGGCGGCTGCGGCGGTGACGCGCGCGGGGGCGGGGTGGCGTGGGGCGTGTTCAGTTTTCCTTTCGGTCACTTGAGGGGGCGTGGGTGTGAGCTCATTGGCGACGGAAGGCAGTTTACGAACGCGGCAGGGGGCGGCGGGGAGAGAGGGCGTTCGGTTCAATTTCAGCTCCGAATGCACTCTGAGATTTACCGAGGGCTTCGTTTCCTCTTCGCGTTGTGGACGCAGATGTGGATCTCAGCTCCGCCGAATCTCAATCCGTGATACCAAATTGACACGTTTATGAGTGAGGGGAGAAATGAACACACATTAATTATGAGCACCAATAATTGTGAACACATAATGATTCAAGTAATTGTTATATTGGTACAACAAATGAACACACAATAATTCCAGTAGTTGTTATATTGGTACAACAAATGAACACACAATAATTCAAGCAAATATTATATTGGTAGAACAAATGAACACACAATAATTCAAATAATTAGTTATATTGGTATTTATATAGGTACATGTTTTACGTTTTTTTATTTTCAATTCCAACAATTGATAAAACATCACAAAAACTTGGAGTTAAATCACAGGTCTGCAGATTTGCAGATATTCTCAGTGCTTGTAAGCAGATACCCCAAAAAATATATAAAACCCAAATAAATTGCCATATTCATATCATTTCAGATCTTGACTCACTACCACTGAAAACACATTTATAATAAATAAAAGTAATACAGTTACACAAAAACATTGCAACTTTGAAGTGCATAGTTACAATGTTTTATACCTGCTTTTTATATTCAAAGTGGATTTGTAGTGATGTAGGTAAAGATATGTTAAGAAGCCTTTTTGAGGGCAAGGATTGATATATATTTTTAGTTCTAATGTAAAAGCACTTAGGAATCCTCCATATCAGTAGTCATAACATACGACATAGATGTCTGTTTTGTTTTATTTTGATTGTTTACTTCCTGGGAACGAATATTTCTGGAATTTATGGATTTCTGTTTCTTTCAACTGTCTGAGACTGATTTAGACGCGGCCATCGCACTCATAGCCCTCCTCTCTAACACGGAATAGTTCCTCAGGAACGCAGTTTCAGGGTATACTTACTAGCTTCGCCCTAGCGTGGCCCGTCAGCCTCACGGTTTGAGATGACTATTCCACACGTGAAATTAATACCATTAGAGTTTAACTATACAAACAAAATGCCCCAATCAGGGTGGTGCATCTCAAAAACGTTTAGTCGCTTTTCTATTCCACTTGTCTTACCGCTTCTCTCAAGTGGCCAATCACAAACTGCGATTCATCTATCTTAGGAGGTGGTATGCATCGATTGCTATGTCAATGTCCAATAAACCGCATACGTAGTATAACATAACCACTTTCATTTTAACACATATTTGAGTTATTTTGAATATTTGTCGCATTTTGGAATTATTTTGGACGTAATTAAATTCGTGAAATAGTTATATTATATACCACTCGTGCTTTGAAAATTCTCAGATAAATCGCTTCGCTAGTCGGGGATTTATCGACAATGCAAAGCACTCATGGTATTACCTGTAATAATTAACCGGAAGTGGAGAGCCAATATTTATTTATTTATTTATTTTATAATGATTATATTATAATAATTAATTATGTATATTATCTAATCTAATGTAATCTATATATTTCTACATACTTTATTACTACATAATGTATCTTTTAGATAATTACTATATGTAAGCCATTCTCCACGCAAATAAAAAAGCAAGCATAAAACTTTATTTTATATATTTATTATTTAGTACATATATATATA